GTGTTATATATATATATATATATATATATATATGTAATTAATCCTACGTACCTCTAAAAAAAAAGCATTCTTGTGAAATAATTTTTCCAGTGGCAAGGAGCTAAAGGAGAAATTTTTCATAAGAATAGGCTTTCCATCAAACCTTAATTGAAACATTTATCTACCTAACCTTTTACATACCCGGCAACTAGTACGGTCGTTGAAAAAGATTTTACAAAGTGATAGTAAAACTGCAATTAAGTTTGGAAGAATTTTCAAAAAACAAAACTATTAAGACATCTATAAGCATAATTAGCCAACTAATAGATCTTATCAATATTTTTTTTTACATTATTGATTCGTCGTGGTTGTTAAATTTTTTTTTGAAACTTTAAACTTTGAGAATTAGTACACCAAAACCCTAATGTTGCTATGACTAAGAGAATTGTTTTTAAACTGCCGTATAAGTAGGCAGCTATGCTATTAAGTGTATATAATATCTTATCTATTTTCTCTGAAATGGTGGACACAATTATTTTAATTTAAATTTATTAAAATATTAATACAATACTACACTTACTACTTCTACAAAAAATGTTTTCTGAACCTACAGAAATTTTGTGTAGAAATAGAGGGTATGTCTTGGTATCATCCCCTATGTATGAATTTTTTTTTTAATTTACAACTTTATGTGTATCTTGGATATGTTCTTAAATTATTGTTTGTTCGAACATGTAACTTTTTACTAATGTTTCCTTTATTAAAAATATTATTAATCTGTGACATTGTTTACACTTTTATTCAAAGTAAAAATTTGGAATCTTCGCCCTTTTCTAAACTATTTCACTCTTATTTTTAGAATGCAGCTGTGGCCAATATGGCAAATGCTTATATGATGAACACAAAAAACAAATTGGCTGTAAATGTGATATAGGCTATGCAGAAAAAATGGGAAAATGTGAAAGTATAACTCTACCTTATTCTTTATTTCTTATTAATATCTAAATATACGGTGGAGTCGTGGTGGCTCAGGTGATAGAGCCCTCGTCTCCCTATGAGATGACCCAGGTTCGAATCCCAGCGATGATTGGTCGATATGAATTCCGCACCCAGCTCTCACGGATTACAGAGCTGACGTAAAATATCCTCCGTTGTAGAAAGTTCATGGGCTAATGACTCCTTGTCGTCAGACTAACCATGGGAGGTTTTAGCGGTTTTCCTCTACACGTAGCTCAAATATGGTTTAGTTCCATCAAAAAGGCTTTAAAAATTTCTGCCAATACTTCATCCGGGAGTTCCCTTGTCTTCTGGATAGGGCTTAAAATTACATGACTACGGAGGAGAACACTGTTGGTCGTAAACTCAAAAATTGGATTGGCTGTTCAATGACGGTTATAATCATAATATAATAAACATACGGTGACATCTGAGTAAAGTGGACATCCTTGGCACACAGAAAATTATCCCTTAAGGTCAATTGTTACCTTAGAAGGACGTATATTAATTGAGTAATCAAATGATGGGTAAATAAATACATAATTAGAAATGAAATAACAATAATATTCCTTGGGATTTAATAAAATAAATAGGATAGCTAAAAACTGAGAAATTCATCGTTATTTAAAATAAAAAATTGTGAGTATTTGTTAGCAAATACTCTTTCTTTAAAAATAGGAATGTTAATACGCAGTTTTTAACTAACTCTGAGTGTTCCTTTAAAAATAGGAATGTTAATACGCAGTTTTTAACAAACAAGGCTGTGAAAATAATTTTCACAGTAACTCACGTAAATAATTCTTATGAAATTAAAACATGACAAAATAATTTATACAGATGTTTCATATTATTTATGTTACATTATTTATATATTATATTATACACATTATTTTCAGAATTCGCTGCAAAAAATCGATGTCAGATATTTAGTGTCTTACTAACACTAAGCAGTTGAATCAAATTACACAATTACATATATTTATTTAAGATATTGAGAAATAAGATTGTTTGTATAAAATATTATTTGTTATTTTTTTTTAAGGGAAGACAAAAGAGTTCTAAAATTTAATGAAAAAAAAAATAACAGGCATTTTTTTAATCCCATGTTAAAACATTAACGTTTGTTATCCACTTATAATATTTAAATATTAATGTCAGTTGTGTCTGGAAAATTTTTTTAATTGTTTTCCTTTATCTGTAATGAATTAGTTATACTGGGGAACAAAGTTTTTATTGCACTTATACAAACACTACTTGATCTAGCCTGATCATCACCTCCTACATCGGAAAGCCTCCACACGGTTTTTTAGAAGTAGTCTGCTCAGACTAATTAAAAAGTGAAGCAGTTCAGAGTATGAACCCAGATTCTATTTTAAAAGTACTTGAGAGATATGCATCATATATATTTGAGAATTGAATCCGTAGTGGTTGACAAGTAAATAAGACAAACCAATCATTTTCATAAATTCAAAAATTTTTAGGCATATATTTGCTACCATTTTCTCTTTTTTATTAGATTTTCTATTAAATGGCTCTTTCGTTAACTGGTTTACATACATAGTGGTCTGATCGGACTACTCATAAGAAACCGTGAAGAGCTTGATTCGGGTGTGAGAATATCAAATCTGAATTTCTTTTGTTGTTCGTTCCAAGAGTTACAGATATTTTTCAAAATCATATTTTTTAGTTTAGTGTATATTTTGTTTAAATGTGCAAGTTTAAGAAGATTTTATGAAGATAGATTTATAAACAAAGATGTGTACTTGTCTGCACCTTTGAAAATTACACTAACCCTATACTGCGTCTTTTGCATACCTGCAAAACTACAATTTGAATTGGATCTCTTAACCAGGATTTTTTAAAATTTCCTCTGGAAAATACTTATTGTCCCCACTTCTATGCTACGTAAGGAGTAACACGAAGAAGGCGATAATACATTTCAATTGATGACTATAGGCAGACGTGCCAACTTTTAATCCCTTCCATTATCATTTTTCCCAGTGGTATTAAAATGGAATTAAAACTTCAATTTTAAGCAAACAAATACGGTGTATTTGAAAAAAATTAAGTTGACAACCATGATAGTAACGCATATTAATATATAAGCTGAATTTTTGTAAGAATAGTGGTGATCAAAATCATTTAAAAATTAAATTTATAAAAGAAAAAATAGTATATATATACTACCACTTTAAATATGAAAATAAAATCTCCCGCAAAATGCGCGAGAGTTGGCAGGCATGCTATAGGTATGATGTTAGGGTCATATCTTTTTTGCACTCAGGGCCATTTCCAAAAGGGCAGACAAGTGTATATCTACATTCATATTAACCTATACGTTCTTTATGAGCTTGTACAGTGAGCAAAATAAAAAACGGATCACTCTGAATAACTTTTGATCTAATGATCGGATTTTCACGTTCTAGAATTCAATCTTAATGATTCAAGGAGTTGACCTGACCTCAAATATGCTAATTAATTAGTGCAGACGATATTTTAAGTTACGAAATCAGACACAAAAGCATACATTCTCGGAATAAACATACCTCTTTTTTAACGGATTCAGATTTCTGCCCTCGACAATATAGGGGATAGTTGGACAAACATGGCATTATATCCGGGAAATATGGTCTTAATAGTTTGGTCAGTTGAGAGTTCTAAAGTCTGAACCCCTTAATGTTAATTTTATTTTTTTACGTATTTCACCATATCTCGAGAACTTTTAAGCGAATTGAAAGTTTTTTGCACATAAATATCAAATTTGTTTATCCAAAGATAATTCCGTGCAAAATATCACTTTTAGTAAATGTTGTTGTTGTCGTTTGACAAGTGCCGAAAAGTACAAGTTAAATGGGACCAAAGGCGCTTTTAGTAAATATTTCTTACTTTTAATTATTCTATTTAATAATAACAGAAAACTTTTAATTGTAAGGTTTAAAATTTGTTTACACCATTTTAAGGATGTAATTTAACATAGAATAATGCAAAGTTTGAGTGAAATTGGTCGAATAGTTCCTGAGAAATGGAATTTTTAAAATACGGCTTTTTTCGATTTCTCAGGAACTATTTGATCGATTTCGACCGAATTTTGTATTTTGCCATTTAAAATTACCTTCTTTAAAATGATGTAAAAATTGTATACCTTACATTACAAAAATTTTTCGTTTTCATTTAAAACTAATTTTATGACTGTGTGCAAAAAATTTTCAATTCGCTTAAAAAGTTTTCGAGATATGGCGAAATACGTAAAAAATAGAATTAACATTAAGGGGTTCAAACATTGGCCGCTTACCTGAGCAAACTATGGGCACCATATTTTACAGATAGCGGTTCAGAAATCCAAATCTGCTGGAAAAAAGGAATGTATATTCAGAGAAAATACTTTTTTGTGTCAGATTTTGTATCTTAAAATATCCTCTGCACTAATTAATTAGCATATTTGAGGTCTCCCCCTTGAACCATTAAAATTGCGTTCTAGAACGTTATCAGATATAGAAGATCAGATCATTAGATCANTGTTTAAAAAGTGAACCAGTTGTGCGCATGAACCCAAAACCTTTCTAAAAGTAATTGAGAGAAATTTATCATATATATTTGAGAATTGAATCCGTAGTGGTTGACAAGTAAATAAGACAAACCAATCATTTTCATAAACTCAAAAAATTTTTAGGCATATATTTGCTACCATTTCCCTCTTCTTTACTGGATCTTCTATTAAATGGCTCTTTCGTTAACTGGTTTACCTGCATCTCTGATCGGACTGATTGGTCTGATCGGACTACTCATAAGAAACCGTGTAGAGCTTGATTCGGGTGTGAGAATATCAAATCTGAATTTTTTTTGTTGTTCGTTCCAAGAGTTACAGATATTTTTCAAAATCATATTTTTAGTTTAGTGTATATTTTGTTTAAATGTGCAAGTTTACGAAGATTTTATGAAGATAGATTTATAAACATAGATGTGAACTTGTCTGCACCTTTGAAAATTACACTAACCCTATACTGCGCCTTTTGCATACCTGCCAAACAACAATTTGAATTGGATCTCTTAACCAGGATTTTTAAAATTCCCTCTAGAAAATACATATTGTCCCCACTTCTATGCTACGTAAGGAGTAACAGGAAGAAGGTGATAATACATTTCAATTGATGACTATAGGTATGATGTTAGGGTCATATCTTTTTTGCCTTCAGGGCCATTTCCAAAAGGGCAGACAAGTGTATATTTGCAGGCAATCTTAATGAGTCAAGGGGCTGACCTCAAATATGCTAATTAATCAGCGCATGCTATATTTTAAATTACGAAATCAGACACAAAAGCATACTTTCTTTGAATAAACATACCTCTTTTTCAACGGAATCTAATTGCTGTCCCCTATTATATAGGGGATAGACGTAATCTGGGAAATATGGTCCTAATAGTTTGGACAGTTGAGTGGTCTAAAGTATGAATCCCTTAATGTTAACTTTATTTTTTGCGTATTTCACCATATCTCAAGAATCTTTTAGGCATATTGAAAGTTTTTAACACATAAATATAAAATTCGTTTATTCAAAGATAATTCCATGCAAAATATTACTTTTAGTAAATATTTCTTACTTTTAATTTTTCTATTTACTAATAACCGAAAAATTTTAATTGTAAGGTTTAAAATTTTTTTACACCATTTTAAGGATGTAATTTAACATAGAATAATGCAAAGTTTGAGTGAAATTGGTCGAATAGTTCCTGAGAAATGGAATTTTTAAAATACGGCTTTTTTCGATTTCTCAGGAACTATTTGATCGATTTCGACCGAATTTTGTATTTTGCCATTTAAAATTACCTTCTTTAAAATGATGTAAAAATTGTATACCTTACATTACAAAAATTTTTCGTTTTCATTTAAAACTAATTTTATGACTGTGTGCAAAAAATTTTCAATTCGCTTAAAAAGTTTTCGAGATATGGCGAAATACGTAAAAAATAGAATTAACATTAAGGGGTTCAAACATTGGCCGCTTACCTGAGCAAACTATGGGCACCATATTTTACAGATAGCGGGTCAGAAATCCAAATCTGCTGGAAAAAAGGAATGTATATTCAGAGAAAATACTTTTTTGTGTCAGATTTTGTATCTTAAAATATCCTCTGCACTAATGAATTAGCATATTTGAGGTCTCCCCCTTGAACCATTAAAATTGAGTTCTAGAACGTTATCAGATGTAGAAGATCAGATCATTAGATCAAAAGTTTTTTCAAAAGTTGATCATTAGACTGTTTCTTATATCACGCACTATACATTCAGACAAAAAAACTTAAATGAACCAAAATACCGCTTTAAAAAAATCTGCAGCTTTTTGAACAAAACTAATATCAGATTCAAAATCCTCACACATGATTTACATGAGATCAAGTACATGTATGAATCCAACAAAAATTTGGCACCATTCTTATTCTTCACTTTTTTAAAGTATGTACTAAAAGGGTAAGACAAGAAGCATACGACCATTAAGTATCGTATCATAAACTGAAGTGTATTTTCCCCTTTTTCCTACCATTCCCTACGTAGAAAAAAAGTGGGGACACTCACTATTTGTTCGAGTGAATTTAAAAAAATCCTGATTTGGAACCCATTATTAGTTTGCGTACAAACTGTAGTTTGTAGAGAGATACCGATTGCGGATTGGAAATCAGAAACGTGAAAACATCTAAGATCCGTTCAAAACTCTCACGGAAAACAAAACCAAATTTTTTTTCAAATGTTATCGGCAAAAGTAAACCTTTATAGTATTCTTGTTTTGTATATTTTATGCAACACTACTTTTTTTTTATTTGCATAATGACGTTGTTTATTGTTACGTTTCTTTATAGAGTGTTATTGTGGAGATAATATTAATTGTACTTTTGATGGTGATAGAAAAGTCTGTGGTTGTGAATCCGGGTATGAAGAGGCAAATGGTTTTTGTAAAGGTGAATAAATACGTATTATTATTTTCATTATAATGAAGTCAATATAGTTTCATACACAGTGTATAAAAATTTTATCTTTTAACTACACTTTCATAGGGGCTTAGAAATTTCTACACCGCTGATAAAATGAGACGAGCGTCGATATTATAATATTTCTTGCAATAACCGCTAAATAGTTTTCAAAGACAATATAACGATACAAAAAATCTCTTCAAAAATCCTTAAATGAATAAAAGGCTTTTTAAAGAGAGAAATTTCTACTGGAAGTGACCAAATTTTCGGACAGAACTAAGCGGTACATCTGATGGTACATTTATGGGTAAATATCTTACCATATTTTTTTTTATAATGGCACCTCTTGATTCTTCTATAAAGGGGCGTATTCTTTCGCAGACAGAATTTCCCGGTAGACCTATTATATCTTCTACTAATAAAAAGGTCTACAGTGGACTGAGTGTAAAATACAGTTCTCCGTAAATCTAGTTCAAGTATTACTTGCTGCAGTCTGCTCGTGTGGGTGCCAACTTTGATCAGTTAGCGAAGAGACCGAGGATGGGGCATTGGTTCTTTTTAAAGTGTTCGACTTTACGAGTAGGTTGTCGGGCTATCAATCCCTCTGTAGATGATCGATTGTGATTGCATGCCTTCGTATCATTTTTAGGGATGTTTCCCAGACGGCTGGCAATATCTCATCATGCAGTTCCAATGCGATGTAACTAAAGTACTATTACTACTACCATTAAAATTTTTCAAGGGTCTGTTTTTATTACTTTCTGGGGGCTCTGTTTTTGTTACTTCGTTTTCTTGTTTGTAATGATGGAATCGCACTATTCAAATTTCGACCACTTTCCGACTAGCTAGAGCATTTAAGCTTGTACTAGAGCTCGGTGTGTCTCATGACAATACAAATTTCATACATTTTCTGATAGATAAAAAACAATTTTACTCTGAATTATATTGTCTCTGTTACATTGTATAGTTTAACACAATCGATATTGTGGCTACTTTCTGATACGCTAGAATTTTAAGTGCTGAATGATGTGAAAGATTTTTCAATCGTTTCCAAACCACTGTAATCAGAATCGAAAGTCTTCTGTCATTGAGTATTGTCCTTCTACCAAGAGCTCTGAAGCGTGGAGGTTGCGGGTTCAAATATTACTGTAAGCATGGTAATATCTTTGGGATGTCCTTATGTAAATTATGGTATCTAGTCTCTTTAACTTGAGAAGGTCTTGTAAGTCGTTGTACTCATGTTGAGCAGACGAGCCTACATTTCCATGAGTTATATTATATAACAAACATAAAAATAAAACACTCTTTCTTTTTCAAAGCTAAAATAGTAGATACAAATATGTTTTACCACTTTTTTTATTTACAAGAACTTTTCACAATCTATCAATATTTGTGTTTGGGCATTGATTAATTAAGTTTACCTCTCTTATAAGTATTCTTTGACTATTTTTAGACCTCAACGAATGCGAGAAACATAATCCATGTAAACAATCAATGACGTGCATCAATTTGCCTGGTTCATATTCATGCATTTGTAAAGAAGGTTATAAGACTGTTATAGTAGATACGATAATTAAGCCATTAGAAATTTGCCAAGGTAATAACATTGAATTTCTCATTGATGTATTTAATTTGGAATTTGTAACACTGTTTGGATAAAAATACGTTTAAGAATGTATCAATATATTTAAATTAATAATTTATAGATATTGACGAATGCGAAAATTCTTCAGCTTGTGCTCAGCCTAACACGTTTTGCGAGAACACTATAGGTAGCTACAACTGTATTTGTGAATCTGGATTTGTATCTCGAGGGTTGATGGATTCCTCTTTATTGTGCGAAAGTATGTATAGCTTTTAAATTTATCTATAAAATGATACTGTGCGTAAATAGGGTATGCGTAATAAGGGTATGGCATACCTGCCAACTTTTAATCCCTTCCATTATCATTTTCCCCAGTGGTATTAAAATGGAATTAAAACTTAATTAACTGGAATTAAACAAACAAATACGTTGTATTTGAGAAAACTTAAGTAGACAACCATGATAGTAACGCATATTAATATCTGTGCTTAATTTTTGTAAGAATAGTGGTGATCAATATCATTTAAAAATTAAGATTATAAAAGAAAAAAATAGTATCTAGTTACTACCACTTTAAAAATGGAAATAAAATCTTCCGGAAAATCTGGAAGAGTTAGCAGGTATGGTATGGGAGCGGTGAGGTGGCGCTGTTGTCGATGTGTAGAGTGCAAAAAACAGTCGATTTGCTTAGAAGGGTAGTTGTTGCGTGGCGTTAAAGTGAGGAGTTTCGTTTCCATCGCTCTAAAGCATGTTGTGAAAAGGCTTAATGACGAAAAAAGACGAGATGCTTGAACCCATCGTGCTACTGTCCTATACGGTAAAACATTTGCTCCACAGGCTTCCACTAATCCTCTATAGCATTCTGTTGCATTTTTGCCACGGGCTACCTCGATTTTAAGCCACGACAGCTGATCACCTTTTGAAAACATGCTTTAGAGCGATGGAAACGAAACTCCTAACTTTAACGCCACACAACAACTACCCTTCTAAGCAAATCGACTTTTTTTTGCACTCTACACATCGACAACAGCGCCACCTCATCGCTCCCATATCCAATTTGCGCATGCCCGCCCTTCTGTGAGTTTTAAGGTTAAGTTGCCACTATTTAATTTACAACCCTCGTATTTAGATGCAGCCTAATTCATAATTTATTTAATCTTGCGGTTGCCTTTATGAAATTATTTCAAGTAAAATGCCAATAAAATAGAAAGGGTGCTTTTTAAAAGGAAAATATAATATTTCTAATGACAATATATTTGAAAAATTATGAAAAAAACAAGCAATTATAAAATATTGCATCAGTATTTCCTATCGCGCTATTCAAATCTGAATAAAATGACTAAATTCTTCTATGAAGAAACTTGTATTCCCAATGACCTTTTTTGACGTTTATAGCAGTTCTGTTTAGTTTTCATTTCGAAGTAAACCATAATTAAGCCTATTTTATTCTTTTTCAGTTATACACCAAAAACAAATTCATAACTGGGCTAGATATATCACAAGGACTGCAAATTTAACGGTTGGATATTAAACATAATTTAAGATTATTAATAATAAAACGAGGAAAAATCTTCAATCCTTTCATTAATAAACTTTGTCTATAAAGTCGGGGTTCTGCCAAAAGGAGGTAGATTATTGAGGGTTCTGTTGTCCAAAAAAATTGAGAACCACTGCCCTAGATTGTCCGGTTGAGATTGAGAATAGAGAGACAACAAATAAAACCCCAATGGATTCCAGGACATTGTGATATTTATGGCAACGAACAGGCAAATATGCTAGCTAAGAAGAGCACTCAAATAATTTAACAACTTACCATCTACAACTCCTTTTCCCCCACAAAATTTTATACAAAAAATCTAATGAGGCAAAATTGGAAAGCATTGCTCACTTCTCGTAATTTTTCGAAGGGTTTAAGGAACATCTTGGATTGATGTATATGATGTATGTATAAGAGCAGTGAAAAAGCTGTCACTGAATTAAGACTTGCGGAGAGTCATGACTGCCTGGCGAAACGCCTTTATCATAACGGTATGTTTGTGGGCCCAAATTCTCCACTCTGCTTGGGAAACGAAATCACAGAGAGTTTTATGGGATTTCTCGGCACAGCTTGGATACTCCGAGAGGAAAAGATGCCAACTTATTCCTTTTATAAAAAAAATATTTTCGAGAAGTAACGAAATTTAAGTTATTTTTAATTTAGTAATTTTCATTCAAAGTAATTTTTCCACCACTATATATCAAAAATATCTAAGCGTCATATGAAATGTAACTTAATTCCATTTATCTCGAGGTAAAACTTTTAAAGACTAGAAGTAATTATTCTTATTCTACAAGTTTTACTATTTAATTCTTTACCATTTTATAAACACTGTTGCCGAAACAGTTGGCATCCCTGAAAATATTGGAGTGCTATACATCTACTAATGGAACAAGTACTTTTTTTTCTCTTGCTGTATTTCTTTTTATAATTTATAATTCTTCTTATTTCGCAAAAGTATGTTCTTTTTTCTTTATTCCATTGGAGTATTGTGAAGACATTCGAGTTCTGGTAAAACAGTGCAACAAATACTTTAAATTCTAATTAGTTGATTGCAAGCAGCATTTCGATGTATATAGTACATGATACAAAGCAAGAAAGAAAACAATTAAAAAATGGAAAATATAGCTAGGAAAATCAACTTTATTAAAATTTACATTGACAACAGCAGCGGAGAATATTTTTCTTATTGATAATATGATGACAGCCCTATGAGGAAAACTCAAATAATTAGCAAAGCTTTCCTATTTTGGTTGTTGTTGTCGTTGTTGGCCATTAAGGCACGTGGGATAGAATTGACTCCTGAAACACCAATACGTCCCACCCGTTCATAAGGCGTAACCATTCATTCACCTACAGATCGTAATTTTGACCTGAACGATCAATCTCCAATCCAGTACCCGCATAAGTATAATTTGTTGTGGTGATATGGAGGACTTTGTGACCCAACAGACTTAACGCTAACCAATCCCCATTTATTGCACGGGGAGTCTTTAACCGGCTGCTTTCGAACTCTCGCTTTCACGAACATGAGTCCAGCGCACTACCAGCAAGGCGATATCGGCCTTCATATTTTCGTGTCATCCACATAAGGAACTTCTTATTATCTGTTCACTTTTCTTCCACATAAGACTCTCCTTTTCAAATGAAAACTTATAAATAATTTGAATTAAAATTGTAACTTAATCTATTTAAACTTTTCTGAATATTACAGATACAAAAAAAATCTATTCAAAATAACAATTTCAGTTTCAAATATTTTTAAAGTTTAACTTCATAAACATTTTTTACCTTAATATTTATCCATTGAATAATAAAATAATACTTTTTGTTACAAGCTATATAAAAGCAAACATATTTTACCTGAGATAAATCCTCCTACTTTTCATCACTTTTTATTGTGGCTGCATCAAGCATAAATGTCTTTTTTTTTTTTTTTTTTTNATTATTTTAATGGTTGTATTTAGGCGGAAAGAGTTTAGGTTTTCCTCAAGCAAACTTAGTTAACTTAGTTTAAGTATGCACTACTCAAATATATGACAGTACAAGTACCTAAAAGTACGCTTTATTTTGTTTTCTGCTAAAAAAAATTTTTTTCATACATTTTTAAATGTGTACTTTGTGCATCCATTATAAATTATTATCGATGAAGCCTTTTTAAGGCCAACTAAACTAACAAGCTTCAGCTTTCTAATTTTCTCATTTGACTATTGTAAATTTCACTTCTGTTGTATAACATAGTATAATTTATTGGAGCATAAGTACCTTCAAAGAATTACGATTTTGTCTATTTTGTTAAATTTTAAAATTAAGCTAAATTTGAAATTTATTAACTATTTTCATTCTGCTTTTCAAGTCTTGTAAAACATTTTACTTATTTACTTAAAGAAGTTCTAATAGGACTATTTGAAGAATTTGTTTAAAACCACCTTTATAGCGCTTGAGTACATGGCCATGCAAATGATATTCCCTGATTTTAAATTAGAATCAAAATTATAATTTGAAAATTATTCAGGTTGTGTAACTCTTCTGACTTATTTTATATGTACAGTGCACCGAAAGGAAAAACAAATGGAATACTCTGAATAACTTTTGATCTGATCTTCACGTTTTAGGACCCAATCTTAATAATTCAAAGAGGTGACCTCAAATATGTTAATTAATTAGTACAAACGTTATTTTAGGTAACGAAATCAGACACAAAAACTTACTTCCTCTGTATACACATACCGTTTTTTCGAGGGATTTGGATTTCTGACTCCCAAAATATAAAGGGTAGCTGCAATCTGGGAAATAGGGCGCAGATAGTTTGGTCAAAAGTCCTGTCCAAAATTTTAACCCCTTAATGTTAATTTTAATTTTTACGCATTTCGCTATTTCTCAAGAAATCTTAAAGCTTGTTGAAAAATTTTCCACACAATTATAAAATTCGTTGATTTTTGAGAAAATATCAACAAATAATTGATATCTTAAAAAATAAAAAAAAAACAATTTTTTAAAAATTCGATTTCTCAGAGACTATTGAACCGATTTCGCTCACATTTTGTAGTTTGCCATGTGAAATTAGATACTTTGAAATGATGTAAGTAATTTTAAAACCTTACAACTCTAAATGTTTTAGATTAAAATAAAATATTAAAAAATAATAAATATTTAATAAAATTTATTTTTGCATGGAATTTACATTTGGATTAACGAATTTTATAATTGTGAACGAAAATTTTTCATTTAAAAAATTCGTTTAAAAATTTCTTGATATATGGCGAAATACGCAAAAAATAAAATTAACATTAGGGGGTTCAAATTTTGGACTACTTTCCTAACCAAACTATTAGGATCATATTTCCCAGATTGTGGTTACCTCCTATATTTGGAGGGTCAAAAGTCCCGAAACGTGAAGATCCGATCAAAAGTTATTCAGGGAGGTCCGTTTTTTTCTTTGACGCACTGTATAATACATATTTTTTTTAAAGAAATGAAATAATTATTGCAAATTTAAAAATATTTTCAATTTGAGTATAATACTTATTATTGCTAAAAATGTATATATGACAAATTCCTGCTGTTATGAAATAATTATATCATTCGCTAAAATTTTTTTATATTGCAGAAAGTACAGCTACAGCAATTTACACAACTATCGCCATAGCTTCATTTGTAAGTCTTATAATTACTGGAGCAGTCGTTTATTACGTGAAGAAAACGTAAGTACAAAAGTGCTTTACGATGGTATGAACAAAACAAAAATCTTTTTTTCAAAAATAATCTTTGAACTAAGGATAAAAATTTTTACCTGTCATGCAATCTTCGTTTAATTAACAGTGCCTGTCAATCATAACTAATAGTATATTTTAACCCCTTCCTTCTTGCTGCCGTTAAAATAGGAGTGTTCAAAAGTATCGCACCAAAAATATTAAAACAATTTATTTCTCCATTTCCGGAATCATATATATTTCTCAATCTATACAACAGATGGCAGTACTAGATTATTTGGAATGTGCTTAGACAACGCCTCCACACGGTTTTTGTAGGTAGTCCGATCAGATCACTATGAAGGTAAACCAATTAGTGCAATAACCATTTAATATGAAATCTATTAAAAATTAGAAAATGGTAGCAAACATATGTCTAAAAATTTGTTTAATTTATGAATATAAGTGGTTTGTTTTATTTACTAGTCAACCACTACAGATTCAATTCTCAAATATGTATGATAAATTTCTCTCAAGTACTTTTAAAATAGAATTTGGATTCCTGCGCACACTTTTTAAATAGTCTGCACGGACTACTTATGAAAAACTGTGTGGAGGCTTTCTGATGTAGGAGGTGATGTCTTAGAGGAAGTTTATTTTGAACTTGATATTTCTTTGCACTCATCAAGCACTTATATTTGTAATAAACCCAAAAATTTAAAATTAAGAAATATATTGCACATACACTTAGTTTAATATAATTTTCTTGAATAGAAAAATTGACATTTTAATGACCGTTTCCTTCAACAACAACAAAAAAAAAATTTAACGACCATTAAGCGGTTAACAAACTGAGGGGTTAACATTGAGGGAAAAGTTCAATATTGTTGTTTTTTATATTATAGCTGAAGGTATTCAATATTTATTACTTAAATTATTTATTAATTATACTACTATTTCTTATAATTTTTTCTGAATTTTTTAAAATTTGAGTGATTACTAATTATTAAGAAATAAAAATTTTAAATTTTAAAAATGCTGACTGTTGATAATGCGTCAAAGTACAGAGGGTTAAAAATTTCGCTAGCTTCAATAATACGCAAATTAGTAATAT